CCAATTGCTTTCTAACACTCTCTCCCCATCCAGAAAGGGAGCAGCAACTTTCCTGCGCCTTAGTTTAAACTTTATACAATCAAATGTGACTATTTCCCCATTCATAGTCCATTTTGGAGAAACAGCTGGGCCTGGATGTGCCTTTAGTTCTTGAGACATGTGAGTCTGGAGTCTGACAGACCTGAGTTCAAATCTTGATTCCAGCACTTACTGGCCAAATGACTGTATTCAAGTTTCTTGATTCTCTAAGTCTCATTTTCCTTATATATAAAATAGGAATATTGTTAGTATCTATTACTAGTACTAGTAATATTATTAGTGTCTACCTCATAGGGTTGGTACGAGGAGCAAATGAGAGGATATATGTGCAGAACTCCTCCCAGTGCCTTGCAGTATTGTAAGACTCGGTCGTTGTGCTTCATTAACCCCTTGGTGTCCAGTGATCAGCACAGATTCACCAGATGTGAGCAAACTTTTGGCATGAAGACCAATTTAGGATGTATTAAATATTTATGGGCCACTTTAAAAATGGACATTTGAAACATATTTAAGTCCCTTGGAAAGAATATATCTCCATACAAATTAAATTACCTACTCTGTTGAATAGAAGAAGAGTGTCAGTGGGAAAACGGCACTGCTTATTATCCACAAGAATTTTGCTATCGTGGCATGACTCTCTAATCCTTCATCCAGAAATTAGCTCATGGGCCAAAAGATGCCCTTAGACCATGACTTGCTCAACTCTGGAACACAAAGCTAATAGCTGACAGATAATTGATTGACTATAATGACCCATTTCTTGTCATCAGCAATAAATCAACAGATAGCACAGGAAACCGTATTATATATGTTCAATATTATTGCTTCAACTCTCATTGTCTTCTTACAATACAAAGCGTTTTGCTTAACAAGACCCACATCCGTCTTACTAAAATGAGTCTATAAGAAATGTTTTTAAAATGGGAGTCTAGGACCAGAATCACTTGAGAGGTTTGTTGTAATGCAGATTTTTGAGGAGGGGCTGGTCCTGGGACTATGCATTATTAGGGCCCCAAATGATGCCAAAATTAGAGAACTGTTCCCTAAAACATACAGAGGTCAGCTTTTCAAGCTTCTTTCGTAAGCTTTCCGTTTTTCTTTCAGTACATTTTCCAAACAAGAAAGCAGTACAGTATTATTCCAGAACAGTGATTTCAAACCCCAGGCCCCACCTGCTTCAGAATCCCACTTTTGGGATTATGATTCCAAAGGTATGGAGTGAGGCTCAGATCATTCTGGTGGTTCTCCAGGAATCACTGTTCTTGAAATCCTGATTTTATCACAGCTTTTGTGTTTGCTAAATAGTCCTTCTGAATAGAAAGCAAATATCTTTCTTTTGTTAATTCTTTTCTTCAAAAGTAGCTTACAGTACGTTTTATCCTGCTGTGGCCTTAAAAGAAAACCTGTCCTCAAACCTTTATCTGATGCGATTCTCAATGCTGCAGGATAATGAAATATGTGGAACCTTCAAGACCAATCTGAAAATTTCAGTTTTGCAAAAATTTCTTAATGCTCTAGGATCTGTGTAAACAAATCCCATTCCCTACGCTGAGTTGAATCAGATGACTGTCCTAGTGCAATGATCCAGATTTGAAGTAGCCTGCAACCCCACCCCACCTCCGTAACCAGCAGCCTTGAGAGCTACATTCTACTTTCCCTCTGCAAAGCCATCTTTTCCCCACCTTGGACCATCTTCCATGGCTGTCACCTCAACCGGCTCACTAGTTTTTTAAGTTAAATGATTTGGCTTCTGTGCAGCTTGGAGGGGCTCAATGACCTTAAAAACTTCTCTGGCTTTGGGGCCCGCCCCATGGCCAGTGGTTAAGCTTGTGCACTCTGATTCGGCGGCCCAGGGTTTCACAGATTCAGATCCTTGGCTCGGACCTAGCTCCACTCATCAAGCCATGCTGAGGGGGTGTCCCACATAGCAGAGCCGGAAGGACCTACAACTAGAATATATAACTATGTACTGGGGGTCTTTGGGGAGAAGAAGAAGAAGAAAAGAAGATTGGCAACAGATGTTAGCTCAGGTGCCAATCTTAGAAAAAAAAACTTCACTGGCTTCTTATTGGGTATCTTCAATAGTGACATGCATAAGGACAAAGAATACTTCTCTGAAGGTCCTCAGGAAGGTGGAGCTCTTTTAAAATACTCGGGGATCAATACTCAACTTCTCAGCAGGGCTAGGTGTCATTCCGGGAAGAAGAAAATCCAGTATTCAGCAAATGTTCATTGAGCCTGAGTTCTAGGATTCAAGGAACAAGAATGAATAAGGCTCAGGGCTTCACCTGGAGTCATGAGTGGGAAACAAACACTTATTTCAGCAGCTGTGATACAATATGGTAAGGACCATGCTAGTATGTGTTGAACAACGTGCTGTAGAGCCCCACGCAGGAAATGATTTCCTCTGCCTGGGAGGTGAGAGCAGGGGTGGAGCCTCAGGGAGGGCGTCGCATAGAAGATGACAGCTGCATTGTGGTTGGAGACACTTTCCAATGTTTGAAGGTGTCTTTTTTTGTTTCACGTGGCAGGAGTGAGGGGGAATGAGTGTTGGGGAGAAAGGTCTACTTGCTCATTTTCCAACTTCTGTGGAGTATTTGACTTCTGGGGGTTAAAAGTTGGCGTTTTTAAAGTTTTGTTTATCATCAGTCTTATAGTTTTCAGTTGGCAATAATTTGAGATGTCCCCGATGATCTTTGACATTTTGGTCACACATTGTGGTGCTGCCTCTGTAACTACTGCAAAGCCTGAACCACTTACCAAATTTTGAAAAGTGGATCATCAGTCTGAAGAGTGTGACGTTGAATTCACATGCGACCGAGAGTTACACAGGCAGCATGAGCCCCAGATTCTTCATCTGAGACAGTTTGCCAGAGCCCTTTGCATAAATCAATAGTTAAGATTATTTTTAAAGCTCCCCAGTAATCTAATGGTGCAACTTCTCTGATTATTGACTATGCATAGACATTAATAATCTACAAAGAGTCTAATCAAGATGTCCCATTTATATGCTGAGGCCGCTGGAGAAACCCAGGAATTATCAGGGAAGGGTTAATGACTTCTAGAAGTGTAATTTCTTTCACTTTCTCATGTCACCAAGTGATTTTTCATGAACTCCATTAGGACGTATTCTGTGTGCTCTTTCAGGTCTTTTATCTGTAGTGTCTTGTGACAAAATAATTCTGCTGGGTTTGCTCTGAATAATTTCCATGAGCTCACTTGACACAGACATAATTCTCTCCCCTTCTGACTGAGGAATGCCCCAATACTCCTTTAATTGCTCCAGGCTGCATTCTTCCAGGAGAGCAGCAGCATGTCTATAATTCTTGTTTCTTCAAATCTGTTTTGTCACAGTGGGTCTGTAGCAAGGACCACCTTTCATGGAGTGGACTACGCTTACAGTGTTTAATGTACACTATTTCATTTGCTCCTCAGGACGACCTTGGGAAGTATATATCGTTATTGCTTTATACATGCGGTGTTGAAACCACAGTGCAAGGACAGTAATCCTAGGTTACTAACCTAGTGGGTGGTAAACTTGAGGTTTTAACCGGTCTTTGGTTCCCAAAGCCTATTTTGATAAAACTCATAAAATAATTCCTTGGTTTAACTAAGTCCCTTGCATATTTATACAAACCACTTTAAATTAATTAAGTATATTAGTTAGAAATATTTTGATTGCTAGTGATGAAATCCCCGCTCAAGCTAGTTTAGTTAAAACTGGGAATCTATTGGTTCAGTTGTCTGCCTGAGAAAGTGGTGTGTCTGAGCACAGGCACGCTGGAGCCAGGGACTCTTGCTCAGCCATGCCTCTCTTCCTGTCTATCTCTTGCCTTTTCTCTTTCACACTAGATAACAAATGTTGGCGAGGACGTGGAGAAAAGGGAGCCCTTGTACACTATTGGTTAGAATGTAAATTGGTACAACCACTATGGAAAACAGTATGGAGGTTCCTCAAGAAATTAAAAACAGAACTATCACATGACCCAGGACTCCTACTTCTGGGTACACATCCAAAGGAAATGAAACCTTTATTTTGAAGAGATACTTGCACTCCTGTGTTCATTGCAGCATTATTCACAATAGCCAAGACATGGAAATAACCTAAATGTCCATCAGTGGATGAATGGATCAAGAAAATGTGGTATATGTAGACAATGGAATGTTATTCATTCATAATAAAGAAGAAAGTCTTGTCATTTGCAACAACATGGATGAACCTGGAGGGCATTATGCTAAGTGAAATAAGCCAGAAGGAGAAAGACAAATACTGCATGGTAGTACTTACATGGAATCTAAAAAAAAATGGGCAAACTCATAGAGTAGAAAAGTGGTTGCTAAGGGCGGGGGAGTGAGGGGAGTAGAGTGAGGCTGGTAAAAGGGTACAAACTCTAACTTATAAGATGAATAAGTTCTGAGGATCTTAAGGCTAACATGTCAACTATAGTTGACAACACTGTATTTGTGTAACTGAAATTTGCTAAAAGGGTAGAACAATGTTCTCAACAAAAGAAGAAAGTAAATATGTGAGGTAATGGATGTGTTAAAAAATGCCCCCCCAAATTTATTTTTTATTAATTTCTTTCACTTAGTGGGAAACAAAGCCTCGGGCAGCGTCTCTGCCTGGTCTGGGTCACATGCTCATCTTGGGACTCATGAACTGTGGCCAGAAGAGTGGGGTTCTATCACATGCAGCCCTCATCAGAACCTTCACATGTGTGGAATCAGGGAAAGAGAAATTTCCAAAAACAGCGGAGTTGACATTCCTAGAAGGAGGGTCGCACCACGTCCATACTGAGAGACTTCAGTGAGATTACTAAGTAGAAAACTCCAGCCAGCCCGTCCCTAATTTTATAAAGGGACCTCCTCATATAGTTGTTGACTTATATCTTCATAAGGATAGAAATGCACTTACCATGCCCCTAATTTAAATCATAATTTCTGATTTTCCTTTGCCCTAGCTATATTTCCGTATCCTACATCGCACCCAGCACGATGCCTAGCACCCAGCAGATGTTCAACTACTATTCTTGAAAGTATAAATGCATTTCACCCATTTTTACCTTCATCCCACTGCTTCACTTGCAAAATAAAGCATTTGGCACTATTACCCTTCTCAGATAATACGTTAACGTGGTAAGAATTCTGTGGTTTTCTTGGGGAGATATCTTTACACATGAAAAGCAAATGTATCCTGTTATTGAGATGCTCGTCCACAGCAGTCGCAAACCTAATCCTAACCCGAGCTCTGCAGCTTCTCAGCCTCACGACATTGTGGATGACAAGGGGTGTGCATAACCGGAATAAAAGCCAGGGCCTGGAGTCTCACAGAAAGAACTCCCACCCTTCAAACAAAAGTATTTAAAAGCAATTCAAATCTTTATTGGAGACTCTTAGAAAATATGCATGGAGATCTAAGTTGTAACTCTGGCTATACTTAAAATGGTTTCTTCATTCCTCTTGTTCTTAATTAATTAATTCAATAATACCTGTTAAATGTCTCCTGTGTGCTGGGCGTGCTTCTAGAGTAGACAGGGTTCCGGTGCCCACAGAGCTCGTAATCTCCCATACTCCCAAACCCCTCCACGCCCCTTGCACTCAGCTCTCAACCTGGCATTGACTGCCAAGCCCAGCCAGATGGGGCCACTTGTCTTCCATGGCCTCCTCCTCCTTTTCAAGGTCTTCTTTAATCCTGCCCTTTTTTTCAGTTCTTTCTAACAAGTGCTTTGATCTCTACATGTGAAATCTAGTGACCCATAGGCAACTCTGTGCTCCCCAGGAGGTGGTGGGGGTGGAGATGGGGAGAGACAACCAGCTGCTCTTCGAAGAAGGGCTTTCCCTTAGCACATGGGGGGATGTGCGTGGGGGCGTGGAAGGGAGAACAGACTGCAAGCACTTTAATAGATATATTTATTATCTTTTCTTTTAACTGCATGACATTTATTTTAAAGGTATTTTTCTGTGTTTCAGAGACTGGAGAACGGGAAGGAAGAGGAGAAAAAAAGGAGGGAAAAAAAGATAATAGAAGATGAGAGAATGGATGGCAGCTGAGGAAACGGGAGAGAGGCAAGAGGTTCCAGATTCCAGGCAGCCTCCCTCTTGCCTCCTGATTCCTCTCTCATCTCAGTAAGCGCTTTGCATGCCAGCCTTCCTCTTCCATTGGTGACTGTTATGAAGACTCTGTGATGTACTTTTCTCTTACCACTGTCTGCTGCTGAAGGCACAGAATTGAGTTTTGGAAAGGTGTGTGGTGGGAGAAAAATGCAGAAAAATGGTTGAGTGCAAAACACATCCTGGGTGTTAACCAGTAAAATGGCTTAAGATCATATTCCAGGCTTTGGGGTTATTGGCATTCTTCCTTAACCTGCTAGAGCATAATCTAGTACTTCACTTGGCTTTCTCCAGCCAGGCATCGCTTTTGCAAATGTTCCAGAAGAAGGCAAATTGACGGCTTTCAAACAGTCAATTTTCATGTTTGTTGTTAATGATACGAAGTGGATCCCGACTCTTAGCAACCCTGTGGACAGTAGAGCAGAACGCTGCCGGGTCTTTTGGTGCCATCCTCTCACCTTCTAGTGCTGTATCAGACAATGCTCCACTGCTATTCACAGGGTTTTCACGGCCAATTTTTTGGAAGTGGGTGGCCACGTCCCTCTTCCTAGCCTGTCCTAGCCTGGAAGCTCCGCTGAAACCTGTCCACTTTGGGGTGACCCTGCTGGTATTTGAAATCCTGGTGGCATAGCTTTCAGCATCACAGCAACACGCATCCTCTGTAGTATGACAACCGACAGGTGGATGATGTGGTTCCCTCACCGGGAAACAAACCTGGGCTGCAGAGGTGAGAGTGCTGAATCTTAACCACTAGACCACCAGGACTGACTCGACTTTCATGGACATTGATGAAATCTACAGGCTTCATTTCTTGAAGTCCAAAGATATTTCTACCTATATACATCAAAAACACTTTTGAATTCTTGAGAGTAAACTTTTATTTGAAAGAAATACATATTTAAGTTGTTTACGGGTGAAAGCTGAACTATCTTTGAGCTGAGCTAATGCAGTGTGAGGACACCATGTGTACTTTCAAATAAACTTCAAAGAATTCATGAAACCTGGCAACAGGTGTCATAGCACATTGCCTCTAGCTGAGGCTCACAGAAGCTCCTCACAGGCTTAGAAGAAATTGATGGAAAACTCACATGGACATCAGAAGTTCCCTTTTATTGGAAAACTTCTGAAGTTTTGGAGGCCTCTTATAATTTAAAGACCTGACTTGTAGTTTAGTTAACAGACATCTAAATCTAACACCAGAAGCAACTGAGAAGATTTTGCAGGGTAACTGCCAAGAACCTCATCATTAGATTTTTTTCTGGGTGCTTTCTTATTTTTGATAGTTGCCTTCCTCAAATTGAGGCAATCTTTTAAATTTTTATCTAAATTTGACTGGCACCTTCAGGTATATTGGCAGCATTTTAAAATCCACTTATTTTTTAGAACATGTGAATTTGAAAAAAAGCATATATGCAAACTGTTGGATCAGGGAATTCCCTAGAGAGTGTTTGAATGTGTTCTATCTATAGCATTTGGCAAATACTACAGCTGTCACTCAAAAAACATAGCTAACGTTCAAGTTAATCTAAAATACCTACTTGAAGTCCGACTTATTTTTCCAGGGTGGTCTGGAAACTAAGCAGCTCATACTTGGGGGATAAGAGGGAAGAGAATGAAGGAAAGTGTTTCCGGTAATTTAACTTAATGCCATATACTTTAAAATTTACATTGAACATTAGAAAGTTCCTCAAGAAAATGTTGAGTATTAGTCTGCCATTTAACATCAGATTTAATATACTTAAGTCCCTAAATCGGGTTGTAGCTACAGTGGACATTAAACTCTCATTCTTAGTGTTAATCAACTCTAATATCCAGGCCCAGATGCATCTTTGTTTTGCACCATCAATAACCAAATACTGATGACTACTTTTGCTGTTAACTAAAGCTATTGTCTTAGCTGTTTGGGCTGTTATAACAAAATATGAGAGACCGGGTGGCTTACAAACAGAAATTTACTTCTCACAGCTCTTGAGGCTGGGGAGTCCAAGATCAAGGTGCCAACAGATTCGGTGTCAGTGAGGGCTTGCTTTCTGGTTCATAGATGGTGCCCTCTCTCTGTGTCCTCGCGTGGTGGAAGAGGGTAGGGAACTCTCTTCAGCTACTTTTATAAGGGCACCAATTACTTCACAAAGGCCCCACTTCCCAGCATCATTACATTGGGCATTAGGTTTTCAACATATGAATTTTGGAGAGACACAAACATTCAGACTGTGGCAGCTGTGAATCACATTGGGCATTAGGTTTTCAACATATGAATTTTGGAGAGACACAAACATTCAGACTGTGGCAGCTGTGAATCAGAAGTCAATAAGATTTAGGGGCTTGAGGTATAGTGGTTTTTTCAGGGTTGGATCTGGAATTTATAAAAATCTTTCATGGGGCTAAAGCAGAGCTGGAATTCACTTCCTTGGTATTTGAATTCCATCCTTAGTGTATAGACAGGGGTTTGAGAGAACTGACTCTAATGGACACTGATGGTTGCCTAGCCTGGATCTTTTCCTCTTCTCCCTTTCTATCAGAACCTTGATTTTGTTGGGGTATCTCCTCCTCCTCCTTGTAGTCATGTATTTCAGGAGAAGCTGACCCAAACCCAGCTCTAGGTGTGGGCCTGATTGGCCAAAATATCAGTCTCACTTCTTTTGCTAATATTTGGTTCAGTGATGGACATGTGACTCAGTTCTGGCCAATGAAACTAAAGGCAAAATCTGCTGGTTGAGAGTGGGAGAGGGGTTCTGAGGAATATTTCTGAGAGGGAGAATTATGAGAAGATATATTTTTCTATTCCTCTGAGTGTTGTTGTATCTGGACGTGATGCCTGGAATGGCTGCAGCCATTTTGCTATCAGCCTGAGGATAATGCTGATACTGAAAAAAGCACAGCAGAGTTGGAAAGAACCTGCATCTTTGATGACAATAATAAGCCACTGAATCAACTAACTACCTTTAGACTTCTTCCTTTCTGAGATAATAAATTTTCCTATTGTTAGACCATTGGGTTCCTTTTACTACCAGCCAAATGGACCATAACTGATAAAACTGTCCCAGGGGGTGTGGAGCCTTTGTTGACTCAGTTGCTGAAATAGCTTTTCTAGTGCTGGAACTTAAAATAATGTGGGCTTTAACTAGTCTATCAATGATGAGACAGCTCAGTTGAGTATATGTCCTTTTGAAGAAGAATGAAAGCCAGTCCGTATAATCTGGGGTGATTCAACAAACTTCGGTGTCACTTATTAAATAGGGCTAAGAGCACCTCCATTTCTCAGGGGTGCTTTCAGGATAAATTCAATTATATAGTTTCAAAATAGTTTTAGAAGAAAGATGCATCATGAATTCAAATAATGATAGCCTTTTCTGACATGTCTTTATATCCTCATAGGAACAAAGGCTTCTAACATTTTCTCTCCTGAGTCCACACGGTAATCACGCTTGCATGCTATTATAACTTCAGTGGTAGCAAAGAAAAAAATATTTAAGGTTGGTAAGAGAAAATCATTTTAGAGATGTTCTCCCCAGATTCACTTTCCCGTGATACTCAGACCAAATATCCACATACATGCAACATATGAAGCATAGAGAGTTCAGTGCTAGACCTCTGACACACCAATTGAGTGCTCATTCTGTGTGACATCATGCAAAAACCCATAGAATGTTTTTGAAACAAATTTGAAGAAATAAAGTTAAAATTCAGTTGTTTTCAGAGGAGAAACATACTATGCTGTGGATATAAGCATTCAAATCAAAATGTGTTAAATTTTCATCATCAGAAGAATGAATGAAAATATTGGAATATTATATAGCAGCAAAAAGTAACAGACTGGATCTATATACATTCACATAAATGGATCACACATATATAAGAATGAACAGAAAAAGCAAGTTGCAGTAGAATATATACAATATGATTGTATTAATATAAAGGATAGAATGATAGCAAATGAGAGTAGTATTTAGGGATACATACATTTACACAGTAAATATAAAAAAACTCATGGTGATGATAATCATCATATTTAGGATAATTGTTACCTCTGGGTATTGGGAAACGAAATGTGACTAGAGGGAGAGGTACTTTAAACTTTAAATTATATTGGAAATGTTTTATTTCCGAAGTTGAATAATGAGTATACAAGTCTTCACTCTATTATTTTTATAGCTTTTTTGTCTGAAATTTTGTAATACATTAAAAACAAAACAAAGTGAAAATCTCAGTTTTCTCCCCAATGAGATTGCTGACAATTTCCCCAGCCATGTGAGGATGAGAGTCCCACTTTCAATCTAGAAGATTTCAGATTCCCCAGTCATTGTAATGTTTTCTAACTATATAGGAGTGGAGGCTTTTAGTACTTACATAAGAGAGCTAGATCAACATGTGAATCTACTCAGATTATCTAGCTGGTTTATTATAAGTTAGTAGTTTTCTTTTAATGCATATCTAATGTACAAAGCAGGGACGAGTGTGACGCACTAGATCGTACTCCAGCAGGCTGGTTACACTACTTGGAGATTCTTCCCCTTGCAAGGTGATTAAAATCATGTTTGTCTTCTGCTGCTTTCAGCCCACATCCCACTGCATCTTGCAGTAACTTCTCTTTTAAACTGCACCCCATATACCTCTCCTTCATGCCGGTTATATTTATATGTATTTGTGTGATTATTTTATCAATGTCTGCTCCCAGACAGGATCTCAAGCTCCAAAAAGGCCAAGACTGTCAGTTTTGCTCATTGTTGTATTCCCAGAGCTTAGTAAAGTGTCTGCTATGGGACAAGTGTTCAGTATATATTGGCTGAATGGATTGAATAAAATATGATCGCATCACTTTTATTTTTTCTCACCATAGCCTACTAACATCAAGACCTTCTCAAATTTTCCCCAGTGACATGACAAAATGGTTTGGTGTCTTCCTTTCCACCAAATCCCTCTGCTGTATTTTTCTTGATTTTCTTATCACTACTTGATTATTTTATTTTAGACTTCCCAAAACTAAAGCCTGACTTGGGTACAAATGATACCAGGAA